GTGGCTGGTGGGTTTGAACCGCCAGCCTTCTGGTTAGCAGTCAAGCGCCTTAGGCACTATGCTACCAGAGCTCCCACAAAGCACGTAGAGGGACCTCAGTCTGGTCCCCCCGCTGACCACCACACAAGCCTCAAGCCAAGCCCCTTTCCCTGTTCTCTCAACCCCTTGTTGGAAGCCTGCCCTGCGCCCCCAGACACCCTCACCAAGTGAGCAGCGGACCTTCCCTCAGGCGCTCTCTCCCAAGTCACCAGCTCGTCTGCTTTCAGAACACAGCCCAGCGGTCTGACCATCCTTTGACCGTTTTCACGATGTTACCAATTGAGATATCACATGAACTCTTGTATACTTGGTATTATTCTTTGGCTGAATTTAAATCATTTTACTTAAAAATGTTATGTCACTAATGAAAATGGAAACCCAGCGTCACTTGCATAAATGTCCTCTGAAAGGACTCTAATAAAGAAGGGACAAAGTGATTAGAGTCTGTTTGGAACCATTGGCACCTGAGACCACTTATCTCTCTGTCTTCAACAGGGAATTAGCCAGGGTGGAGGAGGGTGAAGATGGCCTAGCACCACAGAGACCGACCTAACCAATGAGATTAAAGGCGAGAGACGAGAATGTTTTCTGAGAAGAAATCCAGCGTTACTCAACAAGGGGTCCTGGGCTGTGGGCTGTGTGCCAGCAGGGACAGGCGGCCCTCATCTGGGGAAGCCGGGGATCGGTTTGTCACTGTCCCTGGTCACATTCTGCACAGCAGCCGATGACTGCTCTCCGGCCCTTTCGGGGAGATGACGTGCTGGGCCGTGGAGAAGGCAGGCTTCGGACGGCCCCGCGGCTGTTGGCATGGAGGCCCACGTCTTCCTGTGAAGAATAAGGAGCATGGAGGCAGGGCTTCCACTCAGTCTTCACAGACACCAAAGGTTAGTCCAGGTAACGCGGCCCACACTGGGTGGGTCCAGAGCCCAAGGGGATACTTTGTTATTTGTTATTTGAATTCAGCTTGTCAAATATGTTGCCCCTTTGGCCAAATCTGACTTTGAAGCATGTAAGTTATGAAAGGAAAGGAAAGAAAATCGGTGTCCCTGGTGACGCGAGGGTTAGGCATTCAGCTGCTAACGAAAGTGTTGGCAGTTGGAACCCACCTAAAGGCTCTGAGGGAGAGGGACCTGGTGACCCGCCCCGTAGCTATTACACCTAGGAAACCCTATGGGGTAAGTTCTGTTCTGTTCCAAGGGGTCACTGTGAGTCAGAACCCACTCAATGGCACCCAACACCAGCAACAAATTTACAAATAAAATAGGGGAGCTCATAGGATGTGCCAGGCTTCTAACTTCTTCTGGGAAACTGGGGGAGACTCTGGGTGATAGAAGTAGTTAACATGCCTGGCTGCTGATCCAAAGGTTAGAGGTTCATGTCCCCCATAGACACCTTGGAAGAAAGGCCTGGCAACCTAATTTCAAAAAATTGTGAGGCACAGCTGTGCTCTGGCGCATGGAAGGATGCCCCGAGCAGAGTCCGCTCGATGGCAACTGTTTGTTTTACTTTCGGGGCGTCCTGAGGCTGGGGAGAGGGAGGGGCTGCCTGTGCGCAGGGACTTAGCTCGGGGTGCGGGGGGGTATTGGGCTATGGGCACTGGGGCGAGGAGGCTGTGGGGGGGGGGGGGGGGGCACAGGCAGGTCACAGGAGCCAAAGCTTGTTCTGCTGGCTGCTCCTTGGAGACGTGGCCCCCACATACCTGCTTCCTCCAAATACTACACCAGGGTCGGCCTCGTCAGAGCCAGTGTCCAGCATCCTGGTTTCTCACAACGTCAAAACACAGTTTATGGCAACAGACACCGCTTTACAGCAGCTCTCCTATTACTGGTGTTGCGGTCTATAAAGAGGCGCCCAGTGTAAACACCCTGCGAAAAAGAAAAAAGAAAACTTTCCCAGACACCGCCATAAATAAGTGACTTTTTTGTTATTGTTTTATTTTGGCTTTAGAAGTAGTTATCAGCTCAAGGAATCAAGCATTTGAGGCAGTGAATTTCCTGGCGGGAGGGCCTAATGAGAGACAATAACTGCCTGGGGCACAGGCTCTGGCTTCAGACGGAAGCAAAGCTGAAATGAAGGGAAGTAGCACCTGTCCTGCTGCGTAAACAGAAAGTGAACTAGAGAGGAGAGTGTGTCACATGGTGACTAACAGCCACTTAAGAGGATGGCATTATTGAGAAGACAGGGCTGTCTGCTGATGGCTGCTGTGAGTGTCCCCTGCTTGGCAGCTGTGCAGATTTCAAAAGGTAGAAGGAAACAGAGTACTGCTCAGGGAGTGGGCCGTTACCGAGACTGCGGGTGTGAGGGGTGAGTCCAGGGACCGCCGAGAGCAGCTGCATGGTGAGAACTTGGGTGGCAGCAGGAATACTCTACTCCATTCCCGGTGTGACGTAGTGTGGGGCTGGGTGTTTCTGGGACGCTGAAAGCGATGCTCCTGGCATTTCGAACACCAGCAGGGTCCCCCACGGTGGTTTCAGGGTCTTAGCTCCCAGGCCGAGAGAGACTAGGAAGAAAGCCGGGTGACCTGCTTCCAACAAGCGGCCGGTGAGAACCTTGTGGAGCCCGTCAGAACGTTGCCCGGCTGGCTCCAGACACATCACCAGGAGGGACCAGTGTCTGAGGAGGGTGCTCTGTGTGATGTGGAGTGGAGGGTCGGTGAGGGCGTGGGAGACCCCACTGAGAGGGGGCAGTCGCTGCAGGAGGACATCGTGTGTGGTGACAGGGTGAGCAAGTGTGTGGGAGACCCCCACTGAGATGGACATGTCACGAACAGACCAGTCCCTGCAGGAGGACATCGTGTGTGGTGAAGTGGAGGGCCACTGAGGGCGTGGGAGACCCTGGCCTGGTGGGATGGGTTGGCACAATGACCCAGGGCAGACTCAAACATGGCAGCAGTTGGGACAATAATGCAGGACCAGGCAATGTTCCATTATGTTGTGCATGCGGTCACCGTGAGTCTGGGTTCTGGGGACGTGGTCCCTGCTCTAGCAAACAGCACACACCACCCAAGAGCCTGTTGTATGAACAGATGGGCCAGTGCACTGGGGGTGGGCACAGCTGGCTGGGAGAGGAGCCCAGGCATGTCACGTGATTCTGCACAGTCACAGGGATCCGGACAGTGGAGGTGCTTTAGGCCATCTTAATGATTATTATGTTCATTCTTCTTACCGGGCCCACCTGGGAGAGCGATGAGGAGGAAGACGAAGAGAAGAGAGGCAGAGGGTTCTCCCTCCGACACCAGCATGCCACGGTCCGGGTCCTGACCAGTTTGTGGCAGAGTCACCAGGTCCATGCTGGGCCCAGCTGGCAGTTTGACACCGTAGAGCTCGTGACCAACATCACGAAGGTGGGGGAGCTGACAACTGCAAAGTGACAGGATGGCAGGGCCCTGGCTGGTCGGGAGCCAGGAGTGACCACAGGTGTGGTCAGCCCACCGCCTGGCACTTGCCCTCGAGCCCCACTCAGTGTGCAGAGGTGAGTCTGCAGGACGGGGTGCTACGTGTCGGTGTGAGAGAAAGAGTAATGAGGAGTGGTAGCAGGCCCATGCATCTTCATGCCTGGAGCTCAGAAATCAATTTCTCATTAGGGGAGCACGGAAACCCTTCAGCACACTGGAGACACTAGAGAGAAAATAGCTGCCCTTTGTATCAGCGAAAGGTAAGTTAACACAAATGAAAGCCGTCCCACTGCCCTGATCTCACAGCAAAGAACTGACCAGCCAGGGAAGTACACGGTGGAGGAGCCTGCCTCACACGCGCGCAGCAGACGGGCGCCAGCTGCCTGGGGACTGCTGATCGGCTCACCCTGACGTCCAGTCATCGAGTCTCTGGGCCTTGGAGCAGGCAAAAGGCTTGGCGAGTTGAAAAATCCGTTCATTTTCACACACGCACACACACACACCACACTTGCACGCACCCCACACATGCACACCCCCACATATACGCACACACCACACACATGCACATGCACACATCACACACATGCATGCACCGCACACATACACACCACACCACCACACACATGCACACACACACCACACACACATGCATGCGCCACACACATACACACACCCCACATATATGTACACACCACACACATGCACACACACCCCACACACATGCACACACCACACCAACACACACATATGCATACACACACACACACTTTCCTCCTCTCTCTCTCCTAACCTGTGATTGAAAATAATTTCAATAGAGTGGTTTTGCAGAGATGATGTAATAGGTTATTGTCTTTATCGAGTACTGAAATACCTCTCTGAGTGCCACACTTTAGCCTTTTGCCCAGACCCGCTTCCCACGCTGCTGTGTTTTCTCCAGGTGTAAGGCCCCGGCTGCAAGCTGACATCTCACAAGGTAAAACTGCTTCTCAAGGCCCTTGCGCCTCCTTCTCTTCTGTGTCTTCCCCGCGAACACAGCGAGCCCACAGGGCCTTTGCATGACTGCTGGGTAACAGCTGACCGTTCAGAGGGAAGGCCAAGCAGAGAGGTGGCCGAGCAGCAGGCTTTGTGCGTGCTTACCGCGGTTCTGCCGTTGGCTGAACACAGACACTCACGGGGGGCATGTCCGTGCCTGAGGAGCCTGACACCAGCAGGGAGATTGTGTCTTTAATTTGGGGGATTTGTCACCAAATTACATTGAGCTCTCTGAAGAAAGTAACAGATTCTGTGACTCAGAGGACAGAGATGTAGTGAGATCTCTGCCGAATCCCTGGGGTTTTGCAGCTGGAGGAGGCTGCCTAACGCCCAGCGGGCTTTTCTAACCCCCGTTGGCCACTTGTCCTGAGATCACCGGGTACACACGCAGGTGCACACCTACTGCTGACAGAACCAGGCTTATTGACTCTCGCCATGAGGGAGCCCGTCCCAGGGGAACCATGGGCACCTCATCAAATGAAGAAAGAAATAAAGTCATGGGACTCCGGAAAGGCAGGCTTTAGGGGCGGGGTCTTAGTCAGTCCGTTTAGGGGCGGGGTCTTAGTCCGTTTAGGGGCGGGGTCTTAGTCCGTTTAGGGGCGGGGTCTTAGTCCGTTTAGGGGCGGGGTCTTAGTCCGTTTCGGCAGGCTCAGAGCAGAGCAGAGCTGTGCGGGGGGGCTGTACGGCAGTGGGCCCAGGGTAGGACTTGCTGGTACAGAGTTAAGGTGGCAGTGGTGGGTCCCTGGTCCCTGGTGACAGCTTCTCTCCCCGTGTCATAACCAGCAAAGGAGATGGGCAGAGCACTGGTGTCTGAGAGCAGTGGCTTCGTGAAGCCTTTCCCTGCTTATCCAGTCTGCCTTGTCAGACACACGCTCAATGGCTGGGATACACTTTCCTCTCGGATGCTTTTACGGACCAGCCATGTGTCCAAATGCTTTTTGCTTCCAGTTCCTTCATCTGTGCTAGCGAGAGTCTATGCTTAGACGTGGCCAACGGGGCACGTGGCTATGCACTTCTTCCACCACAAGTGATCTGTGAACCTTGGAAATTCTATTTCAGCTACTTGAGCAAGTGTGCCTGATAAACACTGGCTTCTATGGGCTTACATTAATTATCTGCGGCCCTCAAGCTCTTAAAACTTGCAGCAGCTCATTGTCGGTTGTACAAAGGACACTTCAAGCATGCCTCTCCTGTCTGGCTCATTTCCCACGTGTTTAAGCCAAGCATGTCTTGCTAACAGAGTGCTCGCAGAGATGTCATCTTGAGTACTAGCCTGATTAGTTGCACCTGAAATTGATTCACACGCATCATATGGGTTTTCAGTTTTTTTTATTTTTGAAAAGTCAAAGTCAAATTCTGTTATGTGATACTCAATAAATTAATATACACATGAGTGCATTCATTAAAGACTATTGTTTGTTCCTCCCACTGATGGGATTATATCAACCAAACCCAACCCACTGTCAGGGAGTCGATTCCAACTCATAGTAACCTTATAGGACAGAGGAGAACTGCCCTGTAGGGTTTTCCAGGCTATAAATCTACAGAAGACTGCCTCGTCGTTCTCCTGCAGACCACTGGTGGGTTTGAACCACCAGTCATTTTTTTTTTGTTGTTAGTAGTCCAATGCTTTACCCACAGCACTATCAGAGCTCCTTGGAAAGCTCATTATTAATGCCAGTTAAATGGATGCCAAGAACATGTCACAATTTTATAACCCAGGAGTTTTATTTTCTCAATCTGTATATTGAAAGCATATTTTATAGAAAACCATGTTTGTGTATGTTTCCAAATTTGAAAGAAACTTACAATGTTCTGGTTTCATTTTTCTTAGGAAGCCATAGTCAGTTCTTGGATTTTATTCAGTGATGGTTCATTGACACCTTTTGACATTTATGATCCCAAGGATTTTTCAGTTACTGTCTCATCTTTGGATGAAATGGTGGTGTCTGTCCAACCAAACCTTCAGTCCAAGTGGCCAGTTGTAGTTGCAGAGGGTGAAGGGCAAGGACCCTTGATTAAATTAGAAATGATGATAAGTGAACCTTGTCAGAAGACCAAGAGAAAGAGTATTCTCGCCGTGGGGAAAGGAAACGTTAAAGTCAAATTTGAAGCAAATATTGATGAGCACCACGGAGGCACCAATGACATTGAGGGCATAAATCGGGAATTTAAAGACCACCTCAGCAATTCCATAGAGCGGGAAGGAAACCAGGAGAGGGCAGTTCAGGAGTGGTTCCAGCATGGCGTGTCTGTTGGCCAAGAGGAGGGCACCAACAAAAGCACAACCCCGCAGTCTCCCAGGGGAGGAAAGGATAAGAAATTACTCAAGAGCGGTGGTCCAGACGCCTTCACCAGCTTCCCCACTCGAGGGAAGTTCCCAGAACCCAACAATCCCAGTGACCTCACAGTGACCTCCAGAGGGCTAACCGACCTGGAGATCGCCATGTACGCCCTGCTCTGTGTCTTCTGTCTGGCCATTTTGGTCTTCTTAATCAACTGTGTGGCATTTGCTTGGAAATACAGGCACAAAAGGTTTGCTGTGAGCGAGCAAGGCAACATCCCCCATTCCCACGACTGGGTCTGGCTTGGGAATGAAGTGGAACTTTTGGAGAACCCCGTTGACATCACACTCCCGTCGGAGGAGTGCACGACCATGATAGACAGGGGGCTGCAGTTCGAGGAGAGGAACTTCCTTCTGAATGGCAGCTCCCAGAAGACTTTCCACAGCCAACTCCTCAGACCTTCAGACTATGTCTATGAGAAAGAGCTGAAAAACGAAGCTATCAGTTCTTCGGGCCCAAAGAGGAAGAGAGTCAAGTTTACTTCCTACACTACCATTCTCCCGGAGGATGGTGGCCCGTACACCAATTCCATCCTGTTTGACAGTGATGACAACATGAAGTGGGTTTGCCGAGACATGGGACTGGGGGACTCCCAGGAGTTTAGCGACTCCATGGAAAGGCTGCAAGACCAGTTGTGAACTCCTTTCTTACGTTTGTATTCACCTTATGCCTTCTGTTTTCTGAGTGGTGGAGCAGTGAGGCTGATCAGCAGTGTTGTAAGGTGCCATCAAGTCAGCTCCAACTCGTAGTAATCCTGTCTATAACAGAAGGAAACACTGCCCAGTCAGCAACAGGGGGAGGTAACTAAGCTGAGTTTGTGGCGATCTGGTGGGATCCCTTTCTAGGCAGCAACGGAGGTCAGGAGAGCTAACACCTAATGCCTCTGAGTCATAAGCCAATGTTCTATTAGACAGTTACAAGGAGACACTAGGAATGTTGTAGGGCAACAGTTTTGCATACTTCCTGGTACCAGCTTGGTCCTGATGCAGTAAACTTGACCTCATGGAAGCCCTTCATCATCTTGGGGTGTACAGCCACTTGGGATTCTTAAGTTGGGAGATTTATTTTTCTTATTTAGTTGTACAGCACAGTGGACAATACTGTCCTTGGCCTGAGAGTAGGCTTACGTGATATATAACTGGATGTCATTTTTTGTGTACCTTGTTTAGTACCCGTGACATGTAACAGAATGTAGTTACCTTTGTTTGGAATGACCGCTGCTCATTGTTCTGATGCACATATGCACAGCATTGTGCCTAAGACAGGCCATTGCCTGGGTGATGCAGGTGGTGAAGTCCTCACCTACTAACTAACGGGTACCATGGAAGGAAGGCCTGGTAATCTACTTCTGATTAGCAGTCAAAACCCTTAGGCACTAGGTCACCATGTGCTCCCCAAGCAGCTCAGCACCCCACCTAGTCCCCACCCAGCAACTGCATCAACAGCCATTGCCTTTGGACTCTGAAAATTTTTTTGGAAGCACGAATACCAAAAAAAAAAAAAAATCAGTCTTTTCCTTGAGACCTGTTTGATTGACATACAAGTTTTATTCCCTGGGATTTGTCATTTCTTGTCATTATGGAGTGACTAAGGCACTTGACTGTTAACCAGAAGGCTGGCGATTCAAACCTACCAGGCACTTCTCGGAAGAAATGTTGGGCAATCTACTTCCATAGTGACACTGCCTCAGAAACCCAAGGAGGGGTCATTAGGAGTCAGATCTGACTTGACAACAGTGAGTGAGTGAGTCATTATGTAGTTTCCATGCAGGGGATCCGTTCTCCCCATGACAGTGTTTAGGGCAGTACCTACACTCTTAAAAAAACCCCTCAAACTCACTGCCATCAAGTTGGATCCGACTCATAGTGACCTGTCCTTGGGTTTCCAAGGAGGTATCACTACAGAAGTAGACTGCCCCATCTTCCTTCTGAGGAGTGGCTGGTGGGTTTGAACCACCAGCCTTCTGGTTAGTAGTCAAATAAATGCCTTAGGTACTGTGCCACTAGAGCTCCTACTTATACCTAATCTTTCCTATTTTACCTTACTGAAATCTCTTGTGTCTAAATTGGTCTAGAGGTTTTATTTAATGTGTGAATGCACAATAGAAGAGGGCCATTATTTCAATATAAATTTTACATAAAGCTTGTGGAGGTTGGGGAAACCTTGTGAACCATGAATTTGTTTATTTTTTCCTCTTTTACCTGGAACTTCATGAGGAACTAATGGAGTACATTTCTGGAGATAAAACCTTCAATCAAATTGTCTTCAGCTATATTTATGCAAGCATTTGGTGAGCATCATATTTTAGTCTCCAATCTGAAATCTAAAATTAGTATTGATCTGCACAGAATGGAAATTGCCTAGGAGACAGCTGCAGATGGTGCTAACCATTAGCCTGGACAAAAATAAATAAATAGAATGATGTTTCAATTTAGCAGGATGTAGAAACCCATCTGTACAATGGCCAGGAGAATGTTCACGATTGTGGATCTGGGAGAGACGAAATTGTCAGGGGATGCGAACTGAAGGAGAAAAGTAATGGGTGTGCTCAAAAAAATAATGATGGATGGATTGATGGATAGATTAATATAGATGGATGATGGATAGATAGGTAGATACAGATAAGTGATGCTTGGATGGATGGATGGATAGATAGACGGAAAGGCAGACAGACAGAGGTGATGTATAAACATGATGGATGGGTGGTTGGATAGATAGTTAGATGTAGATAAATGTGATGGATAAATTGATAATGGATGGATGGATGGATGATAGATATAGATAGATGGTACAGATAGATGGTGGAAGGGTAGATGGATGGAAGGATAGATAGACAGATACATAGAGACATGATGGATGGTTGGATAAATGCCATTCCAAAGCTCAAGCATCATTTAAGAACAATATGAAGACTGGAAATCACAGTGCCAAAGAAGAAACTGATTATGTGATTCCTGAGTAACTTTTTAAATAGAAAATGTCACTGAAAGAACCACAAGAAGGATCTTCAGTCAATTCTGACTCATAGCGACCTCCCCTAGGTTTCCAAGGCAAGAAATCTCTACAGAAGTAGATCGCTCAGTCTTCCTTTCACAGAGTGGCTGGTGGGTTGGAACCACCAAACTTCTGGTTAGCAGTCAAGTGCCTTAGGCACTATGCCACCAGAGTTCCTAAAGAAGAATGTTGTTGTTGTTGTTATGTCCCGTCGAGTCGTCTCCAACTCATAGCAGCCCCTCCTTGGGTTTCCGAGGCGGTATCACTATGGAAGTAGATTGCCCCATCTTCCTTCCAAGGAGTGCCTGGTGGGTTTGAACTGCCAGCCTTCTGGTTAGCAGTCAAGTGCCTTAGGCCCTGCGCCACCAGCGCTCCTAAAGAAGAATTGTTGTTGTTGTTATTTGCCGTCGAGTCATCCCCGACTCATAGCGACCCCTCCTTGGGTTTCCGAGGCAGTATCACTACAGAAGTAGGGTTGCCCAACGAGTAGGAAACTTTAATAAGACGTTTATTTATTAAGAAGGAGCAACTGCGGAGACAGATATTGGACTTGAAGGACCCATGGGAGACTCTTGAGCCATTTCATCTCTGAGGGATAGAATTTTAAGAAGCAAAAGTTGGGTGGACCTGCAGGAGCCATCAGGAGCAGTCCCACGTGTCTGGTGGTGGAGCTACTGAAAAGCGAGTGCTCAGGGTCCTCTTTTGCAGACGCCGCAGGATGGGACATCAAAGCCAGCCTGCTGTAGGACCTCATTGCACGTGTGGCCCTGGCCCACAGAACTGCAAAGTGTTCGGGGCACTGAACAGATCCCTGGTGATACAGGTTTGGCCCTGCGGCTGGTGTGTGAAAGTCCTGTAGAGGTTCTCAGTGGGGCTGAGAAGGGAGGCTGCTGAAGCTTGGTCTTTTATTTTATTTTCCAATGTGATTAGAGAATGAAACCAGGAGACCCAAGGCATTTGCTTTAAAACGGTTCTGTAAAGGGATGCCAGCACTTGTAGGAGAAGCTCTTTGGTCACACAAGGACAACACCATGGTTTTCCACAGTGTTCGGTGAGGAGGGGGGTCCCTGTCAGACAGCAGAGTAGACAGCATATGGTAATTCAAGCATGATTATGCAAATGAAGCCTTTCAGCGTCCTCTCCATTTGGATCCTCCGCATTTGGCCCGGGCATGATGGGAATTCGTTTCTGAGCCCGAGGACTTAGACTCAATCGTAGGATAAGTTAGACACACTCTGCCAGGCTGTCTCCTTGTTGAGTGGGACTGCGGAGTGCGGAGGGCTGCACGGTGGGTGGGGAGGCAGTGGGAATGAGATGAGAGCCCTGCAGACAGAGTGAATCTGCATCGTGGGCCTGTGGTGCGAGGGCTGGCAGGACGCAGGGGGCAAAGGCAGAGCACTGAGATGTGGCCGAGCTGAGCCTGTCACGCTGCCCTGGGCTGACTTTGGGAGTCTCCGTGGAGGGCGGAGGGCTGCCCAGCTCATCACTTGCATAGCTGCACTTGCTCCGAGCTACCACTCAGTCAACGCAGACTAAGAACCCAAAGGGGAGGGCTGGGAGTGCCTTACCAAACATGTGTCTGTCTATACTTATGTCTGTCTGCCTCTATCTAGAATTCCTGGGTGGTGCAAATGCTTGAAACATTCAGCCACTAACCAGAGAATGGAAGCTTGAGTCCAGCCAGAGCCCCTCAGGAGAAAGGTCTGGAGCCTGACCTGTGAGAAAACAGCCATTGGAATCCCTAGGGAGCACCGTTCTGCGGGACACATCACGTGCCCACCACCAGGAGTTGGTGTGGGCAGTAGCTGCCTGTCTCCTTGATGGTTACCACTGTCTCTCATTTGGGCTGCATTGTTATTGGCTTAGAGGAGTGTGTGTGTTTATGTATGTGTTGGGTATGAATGGATGTATGGGTGTCGGGTGTGTATGGGATGAGTGTGTGGATGTGAGTGTGTACTATTGGGTGTGTTGGGTATGTATGTGTGTGTGTGTTGGGGGTGTATGGAGGTTGTGTGTGTGTGTTGGGGGAGTGTTGAAAGAGTGTTGGGGATGTGTTTTGTTGTGGGATATGTGTGCTAGATGTGTGTGTTGTGTATATGCCTGTGGAGGGTTGTGTGTTGGAGTGGGTGAGTATGGGGTAGTGTGAGTATGTGTTGGGGCGTGTGTGTTATGTGTGGGTGGGTGGCTGTGTTGGGTGTGTATGAAGGTTGTGTGTGTGTGGTGGGTATGTGTGCTGGGTGTGCTTGGGGGATATTGGAATGTGTTGGGGGTGTGTATGTGGGTGTGTATGTGTGTGGAAAGGTATATGTTTCGGTGTGTGCGTATTTGTGTTGGTGCATGTTTGTGTGGGTGGGTGGCTATGTGTGTGTGTGTTAGCAATGTGTGTGTTGAGTGATGAGGATGTGGGGTATGTGTGTGCTGTGTGTGTGTATGTGTTGGGATGTGTGTGTTAGGGATTATATGTGGGGAGAGTATGTGGAGAGGTGTGTGTGTTGTGTGTGGGTAGGTGGTTATGTGTATGTTGGGTGTGTATAAGGGTTGTGTGTGTGTGTTGGGTATGTGTGCTGGGTGATTTTGGAGAGTGTTGGGAGTGTGAGTGTGTTGGGGATGTGTGTGTTGAGGGGTGATGAGGATGTGTGTTGCT